CCCGCCCGGGAGTTGATCTTAGGGCCGACAATTTTGGTTCGGATGAAGCTGCATGCGGTCATGTCGACTGTCTGTAGCTACAACTGTTTAACTACCAAAGGGAAGTGTGGCTAGTGGCGTCGGACATCGTATGTTGCCCCATTTGTGACCACATTTTTCTGTCCATAAACAGGGACGTGTCTACTACCACTTGTCGCCGCGACATGAGTAGTCGCTTGGACGCCTGCGAGGTAGGCCACGGCTTCTATCTAAGGCGTCTGTCGTGATGGGGACTTTGGGTTTAGGCTCCTTTTGACTCCAGGCTCATAAATCCTTTCGAAAGCTAAGAAGTGACGCCGTGTCAATCTAGGCGTGGGTCGATGATTGTCGCTGAAAACGCCTGGAGGGTAGGCAATGCTTTCTTGAATCGTATGTTGCCGGCGAGCAGTCGCTGGCGACCTCTCATGTGAAAGGGGACAAAAAGAACGTATCGCCATCTTTTGATATTTTGTTCCCCGGCCTTCAAAACACACAAATAGGTATACTAGGAGGCTAATTAACCCCGCTCCCTCTCACTTTTGTAGTTACACTGTACCGCACGCAGAAGTGCGGGCTGCGGCGGGCTTGCCTATCACCCCTCGGTGCCTTGCGCCTTACGGGCCGAGCGAGTAGGCAACCCGCCCGCACTCCTGCGTGCGGTACAGTGTAACTACAAAAGTGAAAGGGAGCGAGGTTAATCAGCCACCTGGTTTGTTGCGTGCGTGAACAAAACATTTCTTACATACTTGGAATTTTTTCACCCCCTAGCGATGGCGTAGAATTCGTCCCCTGGGACTTCAGCCTGCATGGCCCAGTCGGTAGAGCAACCGCCCAGAGCGTCGTTATTTATTTTTTTCTGGTGGGAGGAGTTGGGATAGTAGAGCACTAAGGGTGCCATGCGGACTTTTGTCGGTGGTCTTTAGTCGATTTGAAAGTGGCCGTGACGATTGTTGCTAGAACTGTGTAGCCTTGGTGTAGCGCTGTGGATGTGGTCGCCGGGGGGTAGGCAATCAGTACGCTAGTTGTGTCTGTGGGTTGGGGGCTCCCGCGCCCCAGAGTGTTTGTCTAGTTGCGTCCGGCGCCTTTCGACTTCTCAGGGATTGTGTGCTGAGCAGGTCAGGTCCATGGCTTCCGCTTACACCCTAGGGGCGTCGTTTATCATATATTGTCCGAAAAAGTATTTTCTAAAGTCGGGTCGGATTAAGCTGACTGTGGCCGCCGAAATTGTGGCCACACTTTTGTGGGCGCTAACAGGGGGACATCCGAACGGGACGGCTTACCCGCTAGGCGCCTGCAGAGGACGCATAGGCAATCCCGCGGGGCTCGTGCGCCGAACGGGACGGCCTACCCGCTAGGCGCCTGCGGAGCTGAGTAAGCCTATCTCCGTGAAGCTGCTTCAAATGATTCCATTCATGAACATAATGAAGTTGATTCCAGTGATTTATTCTAAATATGTAGTTAATTTTTATATGCCTGTGAGTTATGAATACATGATTGGATAGAATGACACCTTCAGAATTCACTGGTAAAAAGTGAAAAGGGCATAAGTCCAATGGGAAGTCCGAGGACCTATGCCCTTTTCACTGATCACCAATGAATTCAACTATTAACACAATACATACTTTTAAAAAAATATATGTTATTTAGAAACGAGTGTGAATAACGCATGACAGATCTTTTTTATGGGCTTAACAGGTAACAACATAAATCTTAAAATGAACTCAACGCATTCCCTAACATTAACAAACAATTTGATACACGCCAGCATGTATCAAAGTACCCTCTAAATACAAATATCTAAGTAAAAACATTTTTGTAATGCAATTGGAACGTAAATTTCCAAGTTCCTAAATCACAAAATAATATTTAATACTGTTACATCACCACAGTGCAACAGGCACAACAAATGTGCATGCAACTAGTTCATAGACTGACAATGATATCTTAAAGTCTTTGACGCTTTATCAGTTGATAGTATCTACCTCGGCGAGCTTTCAATTCTTCGTGGGTCCCCATTTCTGCAATACGACCATTGTGTATGACAGCAATACAATCAGCATTCTGAACTGTAGATAAACGATGAGCGATTGTGATACAAGTTCGTCCTTTTCTTGCATGATCTAAAGCCTCCTGAACAATCTATGAAATAAAGGATTGAAAAGTTAGTTACATTATTGTAAAAAAATCCAAGCGCAAAAGATACTAAACAGAGAGAAAATACCTTTTCACTTTCAGTGTCTAAAGCTGATGTTGCCTCATCAAGAAGCAAAATCTTTGGATTACGCAAGAGCGCACGAGCAATAGCAATACGTTGTTTCTGCCCTCCAGAGAGTTGGGTACCTCGATCTCCAGCCATTGTTTCATAGCCCTAAAAGATTAAAAAGAGAAAAGTTTAAGTTTTAGAAATCATCTAACCTACTTTGCATAAAATGTGCCAAAATTAAATACCTGTGGAAGCGAAGAGACAAAGTTGTGTATATTTGCAGCCTTAGCAGCCTCGATTATCTCACTCATTGGTACAGTGTCAAGAACTTCATCACCTGTAGCAAGATAACTCAGAGAGTCACGAGAGGAGAATGCCTTTCCATATGCTATATTGTGTCGAATTGAGCAATCAAATAACACAGGTTCTTGAGTGACAAGCCCAATATGAGCACGAAGATGGGGAAGGTTTATAGTACGTATGTCTATATCATCAACCATCTTGAAAAAATAACAAACAAAACATTGGATTTGAGTAAAACTTTTGATGTCACATTAAAATCATAGCAAGTAGTCAGAAAAGTTATTGTGTTGTTCTTACCACAGACCCAAAATGAGGATCATAAAATCGCTCTAGAAGTGCCACAGCTGTACTTTTGCCACAACCAGAAGAACCAACTAATGCAAGAGTTTGTCCAGGCTCAACAGAAAATGATAGACCACGAAGTACAGGAACATCAGGACGTGCAGGGTAATGAAATTTGACATCTTTAAATGTCACCTTGCCAGCTATGACCTAAAACAAGATAATTTAATGCAACAACGTCCTTTTTGATCTGGTTTGTGATAGCTTACTTAGACTCACAGGTCTGATCCCAGTAGCTGATGAACAATCAATGTCTGGTTTACGATCAATCAGTTGAAACATCAATGAGGCTGCAAGTTTGGCTTTGGCATAGTCTTGTAAATATGCAGAAGTCTGTCCAACAGAGGCAGCACAGAAAGCCAATGCGAAAAACACCCTGCACAAAAATAGAAAATAATAACAAAATTGTGTTTTAACTTGAACAGCAATAAAATAATTAGAATGTTGTGATTTACCTGTATACATCTGTTGGAGCCATATCACCAACTTCTATCAAGTATGCACCAAATCTAAATGCTCCAGCATACATCATGTAGATCACAGCTTGGGAAAGGGCAAAGACTATTGAATAGATAATTGCCTGCTTCTTAGCCTCTCTGTAGACCAATTTAAAAAGAAAAAGAAGTAACAGCAATGCAGAAAACGTGCATGGTCAGACATTATAAAGTAACTTACACAAAAGGAGCACTGAGATATCCAAGGTACAATTCAAAGAAAAGACGCTCTTTCCCAAGGGATTGGACAGTTCGAATATTAGTAACACTTTCAGATGCAACCTGAAATGTGTAACATGTAAATGTTAGATAACAATTTGTGTTAGAAGTAATGTTTCAAACCTCACCATTGTGTTTTTTGTATGTTGGCAAAATTACTTACTCTAGCTGCATCATTCATAAGTTCAGCATCCCTGCGTTGATTACGCCTCAGTATCATCATTTGCTGATATGATGCTCCTGCTATGAACGGTACAGCTACAACAAGCAGAAGAGCCAGCTTCCATCCAAATATGAAAGCAATAACTAAAGCTGCTAACAACGTAACAATCGCACCAATAACTTGTCCTGCTCTCAATCCTGCTGCCTGAAACAGAACAAAATGTCATGCAAACAAGTACTAGCGTGTAAATTGAAGGGGAAAAAATAAAATTATATTAGCTAACATACAGCTTTAACAAGTGGAGCATCACGGGCCAGACGATTGATCAATCTTCCAGCTGATGAACTTTCCAAATCAAACCATCCCACAGCCTGATCGCAAATATTCTTAAAAGCAAACAATCTCATCCTCATGACAAGTTTTTCAGCAGCAGTTGTCATAGCCACAAGCTGAGAAAAAGAACAATTTTAAAATCTTATGTTACAGCTATGTAAAATATATAAATTGGAGATTCAGAACAACATTATTCAACTCACTTGAAGCCAAAAACTAAATCCTGATGCAACTGCAAGGACCAGAAACATGTAGGTCCAGAAAAGAGCTGCTTCACGAAGCTCTTCACCTCGCAAGGTAAAAGTCTAAGAAATTTGACCAATATACGACAAATGAAATCAACCAGCCTAAATGTATTAGCCTAAACTATTTCTTTAATACTTACCGCAAAAACTTCGCCATAGAAGAAGGCGAATATTGGCATGATGGAGCCAGTCAGAGCACATCCAATAAATCCTAACAGCAGCCACACCCATTCAGGAGCATTTAATCGGAATAATCGACTAACACTAACATTGGCAGAAACGTCAGCCTGAGAACAAAATCATCAGAGTAACCAGCACAACATTTTTAAAAGTAGAAATTAAAATAATTTTTTTTTAAACTTACCACCTCTGCTTCTTTGGCTAATCTGTCTAACTCTGGATCATCCAGAGATGCTAAAGAGAGAGAAAGTGATCTTCGTTTTCTGAATTTTTTCTCAACAGAACTTTGGATAGCTTCATACGATTCTCCTCTGGAAAGAATTTTGAGAAGAAAAATACCATTACAGAAGTATGTACATAACTGTAGAAAAAACAGATAAAGTATAACCTGCACTCACCCAGTTCCCAGTGCTTCTCCTCCAGAAGAATAATCATGAGGAGCAGCATTTTTGTCACTCATTTGAGCCATTACTAAATTGTGGTACAGACCCTCTCTAGACATCAATTCCTTGTGTGTTCCAAACTCCTCAATAGCTCCATTCTGTAAAAGTTATTTAGGTGAGCATTACTAAACAGAACAGGAAAAATTAAAAAGAAAATCAGCAGTAAATATGAAAAATTAAAAAGTAAATTACAAAAAATACCTTCATGGCATAGATTAAATCAGCATTCTTCACTGTAGAGAGCCTATGAGCAATGATAATTGTTGTTCTTCCTTGCATGGCACTATCCAATGCAGCTTGAACAACACCCTCACTATGAGCGTCTAAGGCAGAAGTTGCTTCATCAAGTAACAAAATTTTTGGATTACGCACAAGAGCCCGAGCTATAGCTATACGCTGCTTTTGGCCGCCAGATAGTTGAGCACCTCGATCACCAACCATAGTTTCATAACCCTGCAGTAAAAATAAATTACCAGTACTTGGTTAGAATTAAATGAAAGTAAAAAGAACTGATCATTGATATGGATGAGAAGAAGTAATTGTACTGACATCTGGCAAGGTGGTAATGAAACTGTGAGCATTAGCTATAAGTGCAGCTTGCACAACCTCTGCACGAGAAACATTGTCACGTCCATAACGAATATTTTCATAAATAGAGGTGGCAAATAGAACAGGTTCTTGAGAGACTACACCAATCTGAGATCGAAGCCAGGATAAATTTAATTCTTTGATGTCAACACCATCCAGTAGGATCTATAGAATAATCAGAAAAGAAATGTTTTAGTTACATTGTTGCAACATGCTTAAAATATTGCAAAGAAAACTGAAAATTAGTAAACCTACTCTGCCAATGGTTGCATCATAAAATCGAAGCAGAAGTCCAACTACCGTACTTTTTCCTGCACCACTTTGTCCAACAAGAGCTACAGTCTTTCCTGACTCAATAGACACAGTAAAGTCTTGAAGAACCTTTTTTTAAAAAAAAGATAAAAATAAAAAAATACAAAGATGTACACTTAAGTTATTCACACGAATTACATTTTGAAATAAAAAGGAGGTACCTTTATTTCTGGTCTAGCTGGGTAAGAAAAGCCAACCATCCTGAACTCAATATGACCTTTCACCTTTTCTGGTTTCAGACCTCGTGTGTCATATGGATCTATACTAGGCACTCTATCAATAACATTAAAAATATTGGATGCGGCACCTACAGCAGTACTCACTGCATTAACAAATGGTAGAGCATTTCCAAGAGAAAATGCTCCTGCCATAACACTGAAAAACACCTGAAATAAAACAGCAGCAAGTCAGACCATTTGTGCATCAAGTAAACATTGATAAAAACAATTATTTACACACTACATACGGTAAAAACACTGCCGGGAGTTACTACACCAGCTCCTATTAATTCTGCACCATACCAGAATGCTAGGCCATACGATGCATAAGTCACAAAAAATACAACTCCGAGACCAACAGATAAAACATAGTACTTTTTCATTGCCATCCAACGTCCTTTCTCTAAGGCTTTCTCATACCTGTTTTTCAAAAAAATTATATACAGTAAGTGATGTGTAGACTTTTATGCAAAATAAAATGCACTAAATGTAGTAAAATTTAGAGAAAAAAATTACCAACCTATTCACCTCTCTAGCTTGAGCTCCAAATGCCGCCACTGTTCGTATACAATTGAGAACTTCATCTGCAATGCCTCCTGCAATTGAATACTTCAGCTGTTCTCGAGCGGCCGTTGAAGCAGCTACTCGAGCCAGGAATCCTGAAGTTCCAATAAGGAGAGGTCCAACTCCAAGGATGACGACAGTCAGTCTCCAATTGGCGTAAAGACCAACAGCAAGTCCAGACACAAACGTGGCAACATATTGGATGACCATACTAAATTTACTGCCAATGCCTTCACGAACCCGCTCCAAATCACTGCAGATAAAAGTTCCATTAGTAACAAGTAAATAACCAAGACAAAATGTTTATTTCAAGTATTAGAAGAATTAATAGCTTACTCTGAAAGTTTAGAGGTAAGGTCGTTTTCTTGATTCTGATCATACCAACTAATATCCTGGCGAAGTATTTGTGCATAAAATATTTTCCGTAGGCTATGGACCTGGCCTTCACAGGCAAGTTCCCAGCACACAGTCTAAAAGAAAATTAGTTTTTAATGCTGCAACTAATTGAAATATTAACACATTTTATTATGGCATCGCAACCTACCTGAATAAATGCTGCTGCCAAAACTCCAATACCAATGTAAAGATAATACAATGAAAATTGTGACATGTAGGCAGTGAATTCAGAAGGAGACAAAGCACCACTTCGCCACATTTCATTCATATCAGGTACACTGCAAAAGATTATTTTGTTGATTATAGACAGCTAAACAATGTACATTGTATAGTATTGACTTTATTTGTTTACCTTGTAGTGTCTGGATCAGTTATGGTAGAAAGTGGAGTAGTGGGACTAACTCCAAACATTTCACCATCCACAACACTCTCATTCTGTTTCTTCTGTACAGAAGTCTATGAGAGAAGAAAATCACCAAGTATACAGAAAAAAATAATTAAACGTTGAAGACAAACAAACACAAAGGAAAGGGACTGCGAGAGGCTCTAACTTACCACTGTGGACTGCAAGATAAAGGTGTTGGTCATCTGACCAAAGACGAGCGCCAAAACGGGGAAGGAGGCACCGTGTACAGTGGCGAACAAAAGCCCCACAAACATGAGAAGCTTGTCTCTCCGGGACGCATAGCGAAACTAAGGGGGAGATAATACAGAGAACGTCTCAGGTGGATGAAGATGGAGTGTAACTCGACACGACAATGTAGAAGCTAAACTCACCAAACCGGATATGCCCGATTTCCTTGTCGCGGGATCGTCGTCATCGTCGTCCAGGACGGCCTTCCCTCTCCTGAAAGCACCACAGGGAGAGTTAGTAATGCCTGGGCCGCCCCCGTGAGTGGCAGGGGAGGATGCAGGAGGGAGGTGCTGCAAGTACCGAGGTTTAGCCAAGCCAGGGGCGGCGGCCACCAGCCCGCCGTACGACGCCTTCCCGCCCTTGCCCGTCCCCAACAAGGGAAGCTCCTCGAAGGACTTGGCCGAGGAGGGCCTCATCGTCGACACAACGGGTCACACAAACGCGGATGATGCGCTGCCGTCGCGAGCAGCTGGAGCTGCACTCGGTCGCACAACCGTGTTGCACTGCAGACGGGTTCGCGCCCTGCCCACGACTGAGCGCCGCTCCACGAAGCGGTGGAGATACTACCCTCCTCCCCTCCCTGGGGCGACGGTGTAAACAGAGCGCCCGGGGAGCGGAGGGAGGCGCGAGGAGTCGGGCAGAAGACAGCATGACGCAGCGTCATGTAAGCTGTTTACATGACTGTCATTCGGACGGTTACACGCACGATGCGCCTGGACCGAGGTGTAACTGCAGGGGCGCCTTAAACACGTTTCAATACGGTGGTGAATCCTGTGGGGCCCGAGGGTGGGAAAACGCGGCAGAACGCGACCACACCGAGGCCACACCGTACTGACTGTGGTAAGGAGCGGGAGGGCCGGGAGGGGGCGCCTGTATTCAGGCACCAGACAGGACATCGCCCCGAGTACAGGCTTTATCAGCTTAAGGATCTTAACGTCTTCTTTGAAAACGTACCAGTAGGACAGCCCTACCCGGTTCTACTCTTGCATTTTTCAAGTTAACATCTTAAAACAATAAATAAGAAGTTTGACCCTCATTTTTTACATGTGAAATTTTACATTATATTCGTTTAACATACCGACCTTGCGGCCTCAGTTTAACGAGGATGATACTGGTGCCAATTCATCCAGTGCCGAGCGGCCTGCCTAATAGTCTTAAGACACCCGCGTGGTCTCCGGCGTGCATGAGTGAAAGTGCATGTCACGCCCATAACACGACCGCGGCGGCGCGCGGCCAGGCCGGCTGGGATCGGAAAATACATGACTGGCATCGCGAAGGCTATCCCACGCGACGGTTCCCATAAAAACAAGACTAGACGCGTCCAGAACGAACGGGGTCGGCAGGGGCGCGCTGTGCTGGCCAGAGCGCGATAAAAATTGGATGCGGCCAACAAGAGCACTGGCCGGCGGCCGCCGCCCTACGCCTCTCTAGCCACCCATTCGTGGCTCGAGAGCTGGGCGCGCTCGTGGCCGCGGCAGCGACGGTGGTGGCGGCGACACACCCCCTACGGACACAATCAACGACCCCGTTGGAGTACGCGCGTCCTGCGTGCAAAAGTTGAAAATAAGGCCGCTAAAAATAAGCCCCTTTATCGGAGCCGCCGGGGGGAGTGGCTGGCGGCCATCAGCCGATTGGGGCGCTCCTGTCGCCGCTCACCTCCGCCGGGGCTTGTCGGGCAGCAGCCGCGGCCGCAGGCCGCCCTGCAGGTCGTCGGGCTGCGGCAGCGTCCTCGCCAGCAGCGGGCTCCACTCGGGCTCGGCGGCCGCGCGGACCTCAGACATCCGCCGGTGCAGGTAGGCGGTGCGGGAGGGCCGGGGCGGGGACAGAGACAGCTCCTGAAGGGAAAGGCAAACAAGAACATCTCTGTGTGAGTAAGTGAAGTGAGAACGTTAAGACAGGAGGAACACGCACATCGTTGATTACAGATGCTATCTGCTGCTGCGGGGCCGGCGCGCAGCGCGGGGCGGGACGGGGCGCCGCAGTGGACTTCCCTTCCACCAGCCGTGCCTCTGTGAGCGCGCGGAGTATCGCCGCACGGGCCCTCGCCCCGCCGCCGCGCGGCCGCACCTCCTGTCTGGCACGGGAGCGCGAGGGGTTGCCTGCCCACTGGGCGCCAACAGACACCAAACCAGACGTCTTTCAAATAGGCGGTGCAACACAAAGAAAATTATGACACGTACAGAAAAATAACGCAATGAAAGGGTGAATGTTGTACGACATACGACACAAGTAAAAAACAATATTTTAAGTTAGAATTATTTCTTTTAATTTAGTATTCTTGTTTCAAAAGAAAAAGTTTTGGCACGAAATTGAATAACTTGTTAAGAATAGTAAGTATAAAACATTCATTAATGAATGTTTTAATTAATATTTGATTACGGAATGAAGTAAAAACACTTTTTAAAGAGGAAAACATTCACATTTTTTACATTCCAGAAAGTGAAAGGAAGTGTCACAATATCTTCCTTTTTACAAGGGACAGTGCGCGATACCCAGCAATAAGACGGAACTGGTCTGCAGAAAACCTGTATCGCCCCCACTAAAACACATCAGATCATCAGCATGCGCAAACGAAATCGAAAACGGATTTGTTTACAAGCGGATCACACGGGCAACCTAACCTCACTCCGCCGGACTCACCTCGCCCCCAGTGCTGCAGCTGCTCGTGGTCCTGGTCCCGCTATCCGTGCTCGTCGTGAAGGACGTGTCCGCGGCGTCGCTGGCCGAGCAGGTGTCACACTCCGCGGTCCCGTGGCCGGGACGCGGAGGACCCCGCCAGGACGCGCTCTCCGTCGACGACATGCTCGCGGCGCGCTCGGCCGACAGTCTGTCTGCTGCAGCCTGCTGCTGCACCACCTGACCAGACGCCGCCGCCGCCACCGCTGATGGGGGGATCCAGCAGCAACCAGCTGGTGTGGCGTGGCGTGGCGTGGCGTGGCGTGTGACTCCACGGCGGGCGTGTAGGCTGGAGGTGGAGGTAGAGTTGGTAGAGTCCTTGGAGGTACGTACCCGGAGCCGCAGGCCCTGGCCCGGGGGCGTGGCGGAGCGTAGCACGGATCTTACGCGCCCGCCGGCCCAGCTGGAGAGAGGTCGGGGCCGGGAGAGAGAGGG